ACAATTATTTAAAAACTTAGACAAAATATCATCATCCTGAAAATACTAAGGTGTTTCTTGTGTGTTTGTATTGTTGATTTAGAGAAGGTATGTGTATGGTGTTAGACTAATTTTTTCTCACAACGGAATAAGGCAACTTACATTTATAACTGCTTTTTTTCTTTTTTAAGGTTTATTTTTGTTTGAAGGAATTACAGAGAGACATTTTCTGTCTGTTGGTTCACTCCCCAAATGATCATGACAGTTGGAGTTGGACCACTCTGAAACCAGGAGCCTACAGCTTCTTTGGGGTCTCCCATGTCGGTACAAGGGCCCAAGATTTGAGCCATCCTCCTCTGATTTTCCCAGGCCACAAATAGGGAGCTAGAAGAAAGTGGGGCAGCTGGGACATGAACCTCACCCATATAGGATACTCGTGCTGCATGCAGAGGATCAGCTTGCTCTGCCACCACGCCTGTCCTGTAACTGCTTTTTTTTTTAAATCCTGAAATGTTTCATTTTCTCATTTTTTTTTTCTAAAATTTATCTTTTATTGGAAAGTCAGATATACAGAGAGAAGAAGAGGAGGAGAGGAAGATCATCTGTCTGCTGATTTGCAGCTGCAGTGGCCGGAGCTGAGCTGATCCAGAGGCAGGAGCCTCTTCTGAGTCTCCCATGCAGGTGCAGGCTCCCAAAGTCTTGGGCCATCCTCGACTGCCTTCCCACGCCACAGGCAGTGAGCTGGATGGGAAATAGGGCCATTGGGATCTGAACTGGTGCCCATATGGGATCCCAGCTTGTGCGAGGCAAGAACCCCAGCCTCTAGGCCACCTCACTGGGCCCACATTTTCTCATTTTTTTTAAAATAAAGATTTACTTACATGGAAGGTAGCGAGAGAGAGAGAGTCTGCTGTTTGCTGGCTCAACAGCCCAGCATGAGCCAGGAGGCAGGAGTTCCATCCTGGTTTCCTGTAGGGGTGACAAGGACCCAGGTACTACTCTCCCCCCAGACACATTAGGAAGAAACTGTCTTGGAAGCAGAATAACTGGAACTCATACTGGTGCTCTGATACGAGATGCCACTGTTGAAAGTTGTAGCTTACCCTACTGTGCTGCCCCACTTGCCCCTATGTTTCTTATTTCTTCAGTTTTTGTGTTCCTTTTTTCAATGGGAGAGCTAACAGTAATAATACATTGAGCAGTTCAGTGGGCCATCAGTGTGATGACAAGAAATGTGAAGTAGTAAGCACTTTCTTAACGATATATGTGTCACACACAATGGATTAAAGTATGTGGAGATCCCACACAAGAGGGCTAAGCCAGGCTGCGATGGATGTTTAGGGAAGGACTCTCAGACAAGCTGGCCCCTTTGAGCTGCCAGACTTCAAGGATTGGTGGAGGGCTTGGTGCGATAGAGTAGCGACTAAGGTCCTCACCTTGAACGCACCGGGATCCCATGTGGGCGCCGATTCTACTCCCGGCAGCCCTGCTTCCCATCCAGCTCCCTGTCTGTGGCCTGGGAAGGACGGCCCAAAGCTTTGGGACCCTGCACCCACGTGAGAGACCCAGAAGAAGTTCCTGGCTTCTGGGCTCGGATTGGTTCGGCTCCAGCCATTGCTGCTGCTTGGGGAGTGAACCATAGGATGGAAGACCTTCCTCTCTGTCTCTCCTCCTCTCTGTATATCTGCCTTTCCAATAAAAATAAATAAATCTTTCAAAAAATTTTTGTAGAAGTAGCCGGAGGAAGGGCAGATGGAGGAAAGACAAATGTTACTAGGCTATAGGAAATCAGTCTGGGAAATTGTAGTGTTACAGCTGGAACCCTCTTTTATTTTTATTGGACAAATGAGTGTGTATAGGCAGGAACTTGCTTTTGAATGGTTTTTATAAGCCTTGTTAAAAGTTTGGACCAACTTACATTGGGAAACAATAGAGAGTTTCTAGCAGAGAAATTTACAGTCTGACTGCTGTGCGTGGAATTTTACCAAACATTTTAATAAACCATAAATAGAAATTTTGAATCACAGCTGCAAAATATGTAGTGCATTTATTTTGTTTTGGCATGGAAATAAATAACTGGAAAGTGTGATTATGGTGTAGCTGAAATATGAAAACCATGTTATAAAGAACTAACTTTAAAAATATTTGCATTAAAGTTTTCTCTAGGGATTTATTCATTAACTTATTTTTTAAGATTTATTTATTTTTATTGGAAAGGCAGATTTGCGCAGAGGAAGATCATTCATCCACTGGTTCACTCCCTAAGTGGCAGCAGTGACTGGAGCTGATCCAGAGAGTCTTCTGGAAGTTTCTCCTGGGTTTTCTATGCAGGTGCAGGTTCCAAAGCTTTGGAATATCCTGCACTGCTTTCCCAGACCATGAGTAGGGATCTGGGTGGGAAGTGGAGCAGCTGATCCACAAACCAGCATCCGTATGGGATCCCAGCAGATGCAAGGAGAGGATTTAGGGAGGCTATTGCGTCAAGCATATGGCCCATCTTTCACCATCTTCGTAGGCCCATCAACAGGAAGACAGTTGCTGGGTATGGGAGTTTCTATTGCTATCAGAAGTAAATATATTTGGGTGCTGAAATTGTGAAGTGATGACTTAAGCTGCTGCTTGTGACACCAGCATCTTATATGCGTGCAAATTTGTATCCCTGCTTATGCACTTTAGAAAATAGCGGGAGGGGCCCAGCACAATGGCCCAGCAGCTAAGGTCCTCTCCTTGAGCCTCTTCCAGGTCTCCCACGTGGGTGCAGGGTCCCAAGGCTTTGGGCCGTCCTCCACTGCTTTCCCAGGCCACAGGCAGGGAGCTGGATGGGAAGCGGGGTGGGGGGTGGGGGGGTGGATTAGAACCGGCACCCATATAGGATCCATAGGATCCATATGGGATCCTGGGCGTGCAAGGCGAGGACCTTAGCCACTGCGCCATTGCGCCGGGCCTAAAAAGTAAATATATTTTTAAGCATTAACTTTAGAAAACCTTGGTATGCTCTTTAAAAAGAGATATATATATGTGTGTGTGTGTAATATATATATATTATGGAAAGGCAGATTTACAAAGAGGAGAGACAGGTCTTCCATCTGCTGGTTCACTCCCCAAGTGATTGTAATGGCCTGAGCTGAGCTGATCCAAAGGCAGAAACCAGGAGCTTCTTCTGCATCTCCCACATGGGTGTAGGGTCTGAAGTTTTTGGGTCCTCCTCTACTGCTTTTCCAGGCCATTGACAGGGAGCTGGATGGAAAGTGGAATAGCTGAAATATTAACTGGTGCCCATATGGGATCCTTTTGCATGCAAGGCAAGGATTTAGTTACTAGCTGTCGTGTCCCTGCCCCCTCCCCCCCTTATTTTGTTTGTTTGAGAAGCTTCTGTCTTCAGCTTCACTCCCTAAATGGCTGCAACCAGAAGCCTGGACTGCTGGGTTTTTCTTGTGGGTGCAAAGGCCCAAGGACTTAGGCCATCCTTTGCTGCTTTCCCAAGAACATTATCGAGGAACTGGATCACAAGTGGAGCAGCTGAAACTGGAACTAGGATGCTGGTGTTGCAGGGAGACCAGGCCACTCTTGTTATTAATGCTGTGAAACCAGAATTCTGTAGTAGATACTTGGTGACGATTCCTAGCTCACCTGTTGAACTTGTTGAGCTGTCTCTGAAGTGATTGTGTGGTGGTGGTTGGCTGGTGGGTAACCTGGGATGAGTGCTGGTCGAAGACTCCATGCCCTAACTTCTAGGGAAGGGATGGAGGTTAAGTTGATCACCAGTGACTAGTCATTAGGCATGCAAACATAAAGAAGCTTCCATTAAAAACCTGAAAGGAGTGCTTTCTGCTGGGTGTTGTGATGTAGAGAGGGGTAAACCATTGCTTGAGATGTGTCTGTTCCATATCAGAGTGCTGGTTCAAGTCCGAGCCACTCTACTTCTGATTGCACTTCCTGCTAATGTGCCTGGGAAGGCAGTGGTTGCCGAGTTTTGGATCCCTGCCACCTACATGGAAGACATGACTGGCTTTCTGGCTTCTGCCTGGCTTGGCCCGGATATTGTAGGCATTTGGTGAGTTAAGCAGTAGATGGAAGCTCGTTGTCTCTGCTTTTTAAATAGGTTAAGGGAGGAGAAAAAAAGACTGCTTGAAGCACCTGTATGTCACAAAACCTTGGATTCAGGCCTTGTGCAGCTTCAGATGCCAGTTTCAAGTTGATGTGCACCATAAGGACATCAGAAGATGGCTCATGTACCTGGGTTCTGGGAGGTCCAGATTTATTTTTGGCTCTACCCTGTTAAAAATAATAAAATTTTATTTTCAAGATTTATTTATTTTTATCATAAAGTTAGATATACAGAGAGGAAGAAAGGCAGAGAGGAAGATCTTCCGTCCAATGATTCACTCCCCAAGTGACTGCAGTGGCTGGTGCTGCACTGATCTGAATCCAGGAGCCAGGAACCTCCTCCAGGTCTCCCACGCAAGTGGGCTTTGGGCCGTCCGTGGCTGCTTTCCCAGGCCATAAGCAGGGAGCTGGATGGGAAGTGGAGCTGCCGGGATTAGAACCGGCGCCCATATGGGATCCCAGTGCGTTCAAGGCGAGGACTAAGCCACTAGGCCATTGTGCTGGGCTCACTTTTTTTTTTTAATATAGAAATTTCCCTTTATTCAGAGAAGCTTTTCCTCATGGTTGTTGATATTAGCTAGCTAGGTGGTGACTACCAGAAATACATAATAGTACTGCTAATTGTGTCAGACTTACACATCTTTTGTTGTCCTGAAAGAGTTAGGCAGTGTAAAAGTCACTAATTTACCTGATTAGTATAATTCAATAAATAAAATTGTTTTTATACTTAATTTGTTTGGAAGATGCTTATTTCAAATGAAACATTAACTACTTGGTGTCTTTGAGTATTAAAAAAATTAAGTGCCTGTTTTTTTTCTGTCTAGGTTTGTAAATATTACCTCTGTGGCTTTTGTCCTGCAGAATTGTTCACAAACACTCGTTCTGATCTTGGTAGGTGAATTTTCCTTGTAACTGATCATTTTTCTAATTTTTTTAAAGAAAATTATTCTTTATAGTTCTGAAAAGATCTGTTAATGATTGCTAAGTGATTTCTTACTGACTTGTATTCTTGAATGTTAACTGTCAGTCTGGTTAAATGTGGTAGCTTAATTAAACATACCTGTCTGTTTCTGCTCCCTGTCAAAACCCCATTAAAATAAAATTAAAAAATTAAAACAATGTGAATGGAAGAGGCAAGAATGTTAGAGGAGTCAGCAAATGTTTGGAAGATGAGAAGTAAATGGAGGGGTAGCAGCAGCTCAACAGAGTGGAGAACCTGCATCCTAATGCCTGCAGCAGGGCGTGCTAAACAGAAGCCACCATTTGATCAGCAGAACCTTGGACAGGTTCAGGATTGAAAGCACCTGGTACTACCAAAGACAGAATTGAGTCATGGGGCAGAATACCAGTGTCAGCATTGACACTGTTGGCCTTATGAAGCAGCTTTTGGGAGGCTGTCCTGTATGAGGATGTTAAACAAAGTCCCTGGCCTCTGCTAAATAAATGCCAGTAGTACCTTCTAGTGATACCCAAAAATGTCTTCAATCTTCGTTTATTGTGCCAGGGAAACAAAATTGCCACTGGTAGATATGTAGTTTATGTGGGCCTGTGCATCTTGCCTCGTGCCTTCCCTGCCCTTTGCCCAAGAAGGACAGAGGGGTATTTTTTGAAGATATCAACTCTGAGGCAGTCTAATTCATTGGAACCATGACATTCAACAAATAGATGGTATGGTGCGGAACTAGTAGCATTCTCGATATGTAAGAGCATCATTAAGTCATCATACACAATGCTTGCCTTAGAGCATTACGAACATGTTAAGGCTGCAAGAATATAGATCTGGAGATTCCAGACACAGCACAGGATAGTAGTGAGTGTGAGACTGCAAAGAGATTAAATGAATCTATTCTTAATAGTGGGATTTTCGTCTCCCTATTCCTAGAAGGATACAGCCAGATGTTTTTTCCCAGGTAGAAGAGGATTCTTCTCTAGAGAAAGTGAACAGTTCCAGAGAAGTGATCTCTACAGGTACTGATCTTTCGGGGTATCTCCTTAAAGAACGATTGTCTAATTTTCCTGTGCTAAAGCTCATTAGTTGACAAACACTACTTATGCATACAAGATTAGATGTTGAAAATGTCTGTTAAAGATCACTGCCTGCCAAGGACCTCAGCACAACATTGAAGAAAACCTTCAATATGAGAGAAATAACGGGTGGAGGGTGAGGGATGGAGAACTTAAAGGAATTAGATGTGAGAAGCAGAATTTTTTTTCTTCAAATCTTAACTGAATTTAATATCTTCAGAGAAATAAGCAAAAGATTAAGGAAACTTATGGAGTGTTGAGCAGTAAGACATAAAAGATTAGAAATGACAAGAAATACAGATCGGTTTAATACCTGAGTAGTAGTTTCTTAAAGCAGGAGAGGAAACAAATTCACAAAGAAATAACTTTTTAAAAAACCTTGCTGAACTGGATGACATCAGTCTCTAGATTGAGTCCTTCCATAGTTGAAGAAGGTCTGTACTGAGGTGCACCTTTGAACTTGCTGAAGACCAAGAGAAAGACTGGGTTGTGAATCAGAATGGTCTGTCAGTAACAATCTGGAAAGCCAAGAGATGTTGGGGAAAAACCTCTGGTTCTGGGTGAAAGTACATAGCCAATACAGCTGCTACCTGCAATGCCAGTATCCCACATGCGTGCCAGTTCATGTCTCAGTTGTTCACTTCTGATCCAGCTCCCTGCTGATGGCTTGGGAAAAGGCAGTACAAGATGGCCCAAGTGGTTGGACTCCTGCCACCCATATAGAAGACCCAGATTAAGCTCTTGCCTTCATCTGGTCCAGCACTGGCCATTGCGACCATTTGGCAAATGAATCAGTAGCTCGAAAATTTCTGTTCTCCTTTTTCTGACTTTCAAGTAAATACATCTTTTTAAGTGTATTTTTTGCTATTAGCTGAACATCAGAATATAAAGGTGGAAAAAGACATTTTCTGTTTCCTGCGGACCTCTTCTCAGTAAACTTCCCCAAAATATTTGCAGAAACCAAGAATTTGGGCAGAATGAGAGCTAGTGAACTGCATGCTACACAGAGCAGAAAAGGAATTCCTTCAAATGATGACTTTATAATGAGCTTAGAAAACGAGATAATCAGAGCTAAGCATTCCAGATTGAAGTGTGACAGGACAAAATGAGACTATCTGCTGCATTTTGAAGCTTAAGGGACACTTATAGATAACCTTATCACTGAGCTAAAGTGTTTGAGAAGATTTTGCAAATAAGATGTAGAAAATTAAGCTATTGAAATTTGAAAGTGTCATAATGCATCTTCTGTTTAGGTTGACAGTAAATAATGTTTGCATAGTCAAAATACACCTAAAATTCTGCTGAACAGTATAAACCAAGAAAAGGAAAAGTAAGCATAAAGTTTAGAAATTTGGAGATAAATTTCATAAACAGCTGAAAGGCTTGATATTGGCTGCTTTTTGGAGGTGAGGTGTGGGCTAGAATTTAGTCTTTGATTTTATTGTGCAAGTACTTGAGAATACTAAAATGCCTGTGGTGGCTTTAACCAGAGCTTCACCCCAGCAGAGTTGTTTGATAGCAATGAGTAGTATCTTTGTTCTTCTCCTTCCTGGTGTCCTCTGTTTCCTTCCTTCCATTTCGATTATTGAACTTGAAGACTGAGGCAGCCAATTTCCATATGCTATTTGTGCCTGAAGCTTAATGATTCAGTAGGGTCAGTCAATTTAAGTGTCTACAAACTACTTGGTGATAAAAAGGAATCATTTTTCTTTTTTTAAAGGAGTGTTTTTTTTTTTTTTAATCAAAAGGTTGTTAATATTTTAAATGATTTTTTACATTCATATATATATATATATGTACACACCATATTTTTTTCCAGGTCCATGTGAAAAAATTCATGATGAAAATTTACGAAAACAGTAAGTTGTTTTGTCATTTGTTCTTCTGATCATGATTTGTTTTAAGGAAGGCATGGACCAAAGACTTAACTGGAATTAATGCAATCAGTGTGTGATGCAAGTCCAAGGAATAAAGCTATGTAACTTTTATGATGATGCTGTTAGCCACTCCATGATTGCATAATGTATGTCAAGGTGTTTCTTTTTGGGGGGCCGGGATGCATGCTTTGTTGGTTTTAGTAGTCCTAATTTTATGGGACTGATCGAGGGTCACAGATCCAGTCTAGTGGCAGAGGTGGCTGTCCTGCCCTCTTGTAAAGCTTGTACTCTTTACCAAACAATGATCTAACCGCCTTCCCTTGACTAGGGTGGACTGGCAGCAGCTCGTTTCATATGCATCTAATGTGTTCCTCAGCCTAAAAATAACGGTTCTGGAGACTAGTTGATAGAATATGTATTATAATGGATAAATTCTTTGGAAACTGTATTTGTTTATTTTCATTTTATCAGGTATGAAAAGAGTTCTCGTTTTATGAAAGTTGGCTATGAGAGAGATTTTTTGCGATACTTACAGAGCTTACTTGCAGAAGTAGAACGTCGGATTAGAAGAGGCCATGCTCGTTTGGCCTTATCTCAAAACCAGCAGTCGTCTGGGGTAAGTGAGAGAATGAATTCAGCCCATGAACGATCCTTTATTCTCTGGAGGCTCAGAAACCTCCCTAATGTTTGAAACTTGTAGTACCAAAAGACAATCTCTATTCCAATGTTTATTAGGATTTAATCATGAGACTTTGTTTTAGTAACTAGAAATATGTAATTGACTAGTAGAATTTGAAGATAATTCATTTACTTACTATGATTGGGATTAAGTAACTAAATAGAAATAATGGTATGTGAGAAGTTAGCTGTTTAGCTTCTTCTTTCTTTTTTCTTTTTAAACTTATTGATAACGTACCTTGTTATTTTTAACAGGCAGCTGGTCCAACAGGCAAAAATGAAGAAAAAATTCAGGTTCTAACAGATAAAATTGATGTACTCCTGCAGCAGGTGAGAATTGTGCACGTTGATATCAGAAAATACTTGGGCTAATGAAGGCATAGGCAAAGCAAAAGCAAAAAAGCTGAAAAGATGCTCAATATTATTAGTTCATAATACTAACCCCCCTCAAAGTAAAAAAGGAAAAAAAAAACCTCAGTGGGAATAGCAAATGTTTATTCACAGATAAATTAATCGTATTGTATTGTATTTGTAAGATAAAATGTTACTCAGTGGTTAAAACTATTTAAATATATAAAGTATGAATGAATCTTAGACTTAGTGAAAGAAGCTAGACCAAAAATGAAATACTGTTACCTTTATTTATTTGTATTTGAGAGGCAGACTTTACAGAGAGAAGATCTTCATCTGCTGATTCACTCCCTGAATGGCTGCAGTGGCTGGAGCTGAGCTGATCTGAAACTGGGAACCAGGACCTTTTTGCTGGTCTCCCATATAGGTGTAGGGTCGCAAGGCTTTGGGCTGTCTTGCTCTGCCTTCCCAGGCAGTAAGGAGAGAGCTGGATTGGAAATGGAGCAGCTGGGTCACAAACCAGCATCCTTGCAAGCTAATCTATAATGACAAAAAGCAGATGTGTAGTTGCTTAGGATTTTGCGTGAAAATGAAGTTGGAGTATATACTTGAAAAGAGGCAGGAGAGAAACCTCTTTGAATGACTAAAATGTTCATTATCTAGATCGTGGTGAAAGTGAGTGCATCCATAAAGACTTAAGGAGAGAGAGAGAGAGATCTTACATCTGCTAGTTTACTTCCTAGATGATTATACAGCCAAAGCCAGGAGCTTCAGCTCTGTCTCCTATATAAATAACAGGGGTCCAAACACTTGGACCATCTTCTGTTGTCTCAGCCATTAACAGGGAGCTGGGTCAGAAGTGAAATAGCTAGGATAATGACATCTCTTTGGGATCCCAGCATGACAGACTGCTTTACCCATTACACTATGTCACCAGCCTATTTGTGGACATCTAGAAAGGAGTCTTGACTTTTTCCCCCTGCCTTTCCTAGATTGAAGAGTTAGGATCTGAAGGAAAGGTAGAAGAAGCCCAGGGAATGATGAAGTTGGTTGAACAGTTAAAAGAAGAGAGAGAATTGCTAAGATCCACAACCTCGGTGAGTGACAACCTTGTAAATGACTCTGCTTCTTTGCCATGCACCTATTCATGTTTGAGAGCTTTTGAAAACAGACTTTCTAGGTCTCAAAGGCTACATAGTTGGTATTTTAGATTTTCAGTTCATGGGGTTCTGGTGACTTCTAAACCCTTGCCTTTGTGCCATGGAAATAATGTTAGACAATATTTAACAAAATGTGGTCTGGGTGCTTATTTACTAGCTTTGCTTTAATCATGTTTTTCAGACTTGAGTTTTATTTTCAGTTAGTAAAAATTTATTTTCATTGAATGGCAGAGGTTGAGATGGTGACATCTTCCATCTACTGGATCATTCTTGAGTCCTACAATAGCCAGTGCTGAGCCAGGCCAAAGCCTTGAGCCTAGAACTCCACCCTCTTATATATGGGTGGGAGGGACTGAGGTGTGTGGGACATCAACTGCGTCCAGGGAGTGATAGCAGCAGCTTGATTGGAAGCAGAGTTGTCAGGATTTGAGCCCAGTGCTCTGCTAGAGAAAGCAGGTGTCCTACACTGTGGCTTAACTGCTGTGCCACAGTGCTTCTCCCATTCTTTGTTATATTTACCTGGGTTAAAAATTGACACACTATAGAAATATCTTGCACCTTCTTTTTAATTTGAGAATGCAATATACATGTTTTAGATTTATTAATGGAGAAATGCAATTGGTCATTGATTTCCCAGTATTGAGAGTTTGTTGAGGTTTTATTCAGCAAGTTTAGTTACTAAAAAATTTTTTTTAAATATAGATAACCATACTTTGTTGAATCTAAATAAGAAATAAATTTGGACTAAAATAGGTAGCTTTCTGGAAAGAAGCTCAGTTTTAAAGGAGATGTGGGTATTCAGTAGTTTAAAGTTGAGCAGCGCATCTCAGCGTTGGTGATGACAAGTTGGTTTTTCTTGCTGTGCTTTACTCTCCAAAAGCTTTAAGGCATGGAAAATGGTGATCACACATGCTAAAAAACTATTATGAAAGGTAAGTAGTTTTTCTCAGGTACACTTAATAAACTAATCTGTTGTTTCAGACCATTGAAAGTTTTGCTGCCCAAGAAAAACAAATGGAAGTTTGTGAAGTGTGTGGAGCTTTTTTGATAGTAGGAGATGCACAGTCCCGAGTAGATGACCACTTGATGGGAAAACAGCACATGGGCTATGCCAAAATAAAAGCTACTGTAGAAGAATTAAAAGTAAGTTTGTAAATATGTTTTAATAAAACTAGTCACAGGGAGAGACAAACCTCTTGATGTGTATGATTGTTTGAGGTTGTGATATTCCCCATGATATTCTCCTATCTATCAAGCTACCTATCAAATGCTTTCTTTAAAATATTAGAAATTTAGGGGAAGACCATACTTGAGGATGTGATCAAGTAATGATATTTTATGTTAATAGTTTGGTGTTGGAATTTCTGTATTCTTCTTAAGCAGTTTGGCGAAGATCTGACCCCTATAAGGCCCACAAAGATCATTTGGCCTTGTCCTGCCAAGACAGCTACAGGCAGGGCTTGAAGTTTGATTAATCTACACCAGTTTAATTTTTTTAAGTTAATAATTTTGTGTGACCTGCAAATGGTATGTTGAAATATCCAAATAGCCTTTCAGAGGAAATAAGTTCACCATACCTGCGTTAAAGGCGTCATATTTCTAAGTTGGCTTACAAATTGTTTGATTGTGATTGTGCTATAACAGTGTCTTTAAGGTTATAGTTTAAAATTCCAACTTGATTATTTAGGAAAAGTTAAGAAAAAGAACCGAAGAACCTGATCGTGATGAACGCCTTAAAAAGGAGAAGCAAGAAAGAGAAGAGAGAGAGAAGGAGCGGGAGAGAGAAAGGGAAGAGAGAGAGAGGAAAAGACGAAGAGAAGAAGAAGAAAGAGAGAAGGAAAGGGCTCGTGACAGAGAAAGAAGAAAGAGAAGTCGCTCACGAAGTAGGCACTCCAGCCGGACTTCTGACCGGAGATGTAGCAGGTCCCGGGACCACAAAAGGTCACGGAGTAGAGAAAGGCGGCGAAGCAGGTACTTAACAGCACAGATGAGAGCCTGCTGCTCACAAACACAAAATAAATGGTAGCGATTACTGATGTTACCATGGAAACCTATCACAGAAACTCCTCTATATATAATGGGGTCGTGTCCTGATGGCTCATCTTATCTTTGTGTATTGAAAATATTGTACGTTGAGGGCCTGATGACCGCACTTGGCCTCGCCAAGTCCTCGCCTTGACACACGTTGGGATCCCATATGGGCACCAGTTCTATTTTTTTTTTTAATTGATTACACTGCATTATGTGACACAGTTTTACAGGCACTGGGATTCCCCCCTCCCCTTCCCAAAACCCGCTTCCCCCCATGGTGGATTCTTCCATCTTGTTGCATTACCATAGGTCAAATTCAGTTGAGATTCTTTCCTTGCAAGCATCTACAAAGCATAAAGTCCAGCATCTTATTGTCCAGATAAGTTCAACAGTTTCATGGGGAGACCGTCTCTGGTCTGAGAGTAGAGCCGACAGAGTATCATCCCAATCAATTAAAAGCCCCGACATTACATCAGTAACAATTTATAACGTAATGGAATTAGTTGACATGGTATTGTGTAACCAGCATGTTCAAAGAGAGAGAGAGAAAAAAAAAAGAGTGCAAGTTCTGAACCACATCCTATGACTTCTACATTGACATTACAATTATTAGTTTATATACAGCTGGGTCCTATACACCTTAAAACGGCTATAGATTACTATTCAGCTGTTTCATGTCTATTTTAATTTTAGTATTTATTCAGCAGTTTATAGCGTTGAAGCATGATTTTGCAGAACCTGGCTGATTTTCGGGTAGTCTAACTCTATAACTCTGACAAGACATATGTCAACAGTTTAGGTGAACAGTTTTAGGAGGGGTGTACAGAGAAATCTTCAATACCCTAGTGAGGAGTAACTAATCTTTGTGTCCCACCCAGTGAGTTATAAGTGCATCCCCACTGCCCATTTCCTGTTTCTAAGCTTTCCTTGCTGTTCTCCATCTACTCTAGGGTTTTGTTTGTTTTGTTTGTTTTTTTGTTAGTTCGTTTTGAGGGGTTTCTGGAGCAATCCTGATGGTCATTACAAGAGAGGGTGGGGACCCAAAGTCGGCACCAGGTGGGCACCAGTTCTATTCCCAGCCGCCCCGTGTCCCTTCTGGCTCCGTGCTTGTAGCCTGGGAAGGTAGTTGAGGACAACCCAAAGCCTTGGGACCCTGCACCCACGTTTGAGACCTGGAAGAATCTCCTGGCTTCTGGCTCCTGGCTCCTGGCTTTGGATCTGCTTAGCACTGGCTGTTGCAGCCATTTGGAGAGTAACCTGTTGGACAGAAGATCTTCCTCTCTTCATATCTGACTTTCCAATAAAAATAAATAAAAAATGCATTGGATACTCATGACCTGTTGGACTGCATAGGACTAGGAGTATTGGTTTACTTTGATCAGGGTCAGGGTCGTATAACATTTATCAAGAGAAGATCAAGTGTTTATTTTGGTTTGTTTATTTGTTTTTGGAAGGCAAATTTTACAGAGAGGAAAGGAGAAATAGAGGATCTTCCATCTGCTGGTTCACTGCTCAAGTGGCTGCAACGGCCAGAGCTGAGCTGAGCTGAGCTGAGCTGAGCTTAAGCCAGGAGCCTCTTCCTGGTGTTCTGTGTGGGTGCAGGGTCCCAAGGCTTTGGGCCATCTTCTGCTACTTCCCAGGCCACAAGCAGGGAGCTGGATTGGAAGTAGAACAACCAGGACATGAACTGACGGCCATATAAGATTCTGGCACTTGCAAGACTAGGATTTAGCCACTGAGCCATCATGCTGGCCCCATCTAAGTGCCATTTGAATATAGAAATAGTTTTGAATTTTTCAGTTCTTAAAATTTCTAATGTTAATGTCTCAGTAGTTCTCTTCGTGTACTGTTTAAGGGTTTTTTGTTTAATGTTGGTAACTGTTCAATGTATACTTCAAAGATACTTGTAATGCCTGAACTTTTCTTCCTTTTTGGTCCAATTTTTAAGAAGTAGAGATCGACGAAGAAGCAGAAGTCATGACAGATCAGAAAGAAAACATAGATCTCGCAGCCGGGATCGAAGAAGGTCGAAGAGCCGAGATCGAAAGTCCTATAAGCACAGGAGCAAAAGTCGGGACAGAGACCAAGATGCCAAGTCCAAGGATAAAGGTGAGTTTATAGAGACTTCTGAGAAACTGCTTGACCCTGACCTCGCCATTCACTGTTCTCTAGGCACGGCTGAATTTGCTTTCCATCTGTATACTCCACCTAGAATGAGCACCTGTCCTTCAGGAGGAGGCTCCTCTTTCCTGCCTTGATTGGGCGGGGGGGAGGGGGGAGTCACTCTAGGATTTTCTTGGAAAATGTGTCTTGTTTTGTTTTTTTAAAGATTTATTTATTGGCAAGTCAGATATACAGAGAGGAGAGACAGAGAGGAAAATCTTCCGTCTGATGATTCACTCCCCAAGTGACCGCAATGGCCAATGCTATGCTGATCCGAAGCCAGGATCCAGGAACTTCATCCGGGTCTCCCGCACGGGTGCAGGGTCCCAAGGCTTTGGGCCGTCCTTGACTGCTTTCCCAGGCCACAGGCATGGAGTTGGATGGGAAGTGGAGCTGCTGGGATTAGAACCGGCGCCCATATGGGATTCTGGCATGTTCAAGGCAAGGACTTAGCTGCTAGACCATGCCGCCGGCCCGGAAAATGTTTAAAACCACATTCTTCTGTTTGTAACCAAGGAGTTTTTCATCTAGATTCTTCCAGGCATTGTATTCTTTTTAGGATTATTTGGTTGTGGAATTTTAAAAAATCTTAAATAGTTATTGGCGCCTCCTTTTTTCCTCTGTTCTTGACACTGGCCAAAGGGCTGCAACAGTTGGACTGGACCAGAAGGCAGGAGCCAGGAGCTTCTTTGTGGTCTCCCACATGGCTACAGGGACCACACACTTGATAAATCTCGGGCTACTTTCCACTGGATTGGAAATGGAGCATTCTGACTGGGCTGCTGCTACAGAAGTTTAACTTCCTTTACCACTGTATTTGCCCCAAGAATTTTTTTTTTTAAGATTTATTTTTAGTGGAAAGGCAGATTTATAGAGAGAAAGAGAGACAGATGGCTGGAACTGAGCAGATCCAAAGCTGGAAGATTCTTCCAGGTGTCCCATACGAGTACAGGCTCCCAAAGCCTTGGGCCATCCTCCACTGCTTTTCCAGGCCATAAATCGGGAACTGGATGGGAACCGGAGCAGCTGGGACACGACTGGCACCCATGTGGGGTCCCAGTGGATGCTAGGTGAGGGTTCAGCCATTGGGTTGTTGCACTGGGTCCCCAATAAATTTTTTTCTTTCTTTCTTTTTAATTATTATTTTATTTTGATTAGGGTACAAAGGGTAAATGGCTGCAGGAAAGTGGATAAGACCATTGTTCCATATTGCTTTTTTTTTTTTTCTTCCTGTATCTGGGGTAAGGGAGAAGATAAAGGGGGAAGCCCCACCCAGCCTCTCACCCATCCCAGGATCTCTGACCTGGGGCATGCTCCAAGGGCATTGCTCAATTGGTTTTGATTGTTCAACAGTTCTGAATTGCTGCCAGCCTCACCATTCCAAGCATGATAAAATCTCTCCAGAATCCACTGGCTGACATAGTTCACCTTAAGGTCTCTGTTGCGTAGATTTTCACTGCCAACACATGGCTGGGGTAGTTGATCGATTTGTTCTGTCCTCCATCCTCTGTTGTGGTACCAGGTGTCCTCTGCAGGATCCAATGCACTTTTTTTGTTGTTGTTTAGTCTACCTCGACCTTTTTTTTTTTTTTTAAAGATTTATTTTTATTATTTTTTTTTATTGGAAAGGCGGATATACAGAGAGGAGAGACAGAGAGGAAGATCTTCCGTCCGATGATTCACTCCCCAAGTGAGCACAACGGCTGATGCTATGCCGATCCGAAGCCAGGAGCCTCTTCCGGGTCTCCCACGCGGGTGCAGGGTCCCAAAGCTTTGGGCCGTCCTTGACTGCCTTCCCAGGCCACAGGCAGGGAGCTGGAAGGGAAGCGGGGCTGCCGGGATTAGAACGGCGCCCATATGGGATCCCGGGCGTGTAAGGCGAGGACTTAACTACTTGCGCCACCGCGCCGACCTTTTTTTTTTGTAAGATTTATTTATTTTTGTTGGAAAGTCAGATATACAGTGAAAAGGAGAGGTAGAGAGGAAAATCCTCCATTTGCTGGGTCATTCCCCAAGTGGCTGCAATGGCTAGAGCTGAGCTGATCGGGAGCCAGGAGCTCCTTCAGGTCTGTGTCCCACATGGATACAGGGTCCGAAGTCTTTGGGCCATCTTCGACTGCTTTCCCAGGCCAAAAGCAGGGAGCTAAATAGGAACCAGGTCCGCTCCAGCCACAAGGCTATTGCATTGCACCCAACCCCCTAAGAAAAAATTTTTTAAAGATTTATTTATTTATTATTATAAAGTCAGATATATAGAGAGAAGGAGAGACAGAGAGGAAGATCTTCTGTCCAGTGATTCACTCCCCAAATGACCGCAATGGCTGATGCTATGCTGATCCGAAGCCAGGAGCCTCTTCTGGGTCTCCCACACGGGTGCAGGATCCCAAGGCTTTGGGCCGTCCTTGACTGCTTTCCCAGGCCACAAGCAGGGAGCTGGATGGGAAGTGGAGCTGCTGGTATTAGAACCGGCGCCCATATGGGATCCCGGTGTGTTCAAGGCAAGGACTTTTAGCTGTTAGGCCACGCTGCCGGGCCCAAGAAATTTCTTAATTCTATATTCCTGTTCCTTATCTGCCACTTCCCTCCTTGAATGACAGCAGTGGCTGGAGCTGAGCTGGTTTGAGTCAGCAACCAGGAGCTCTTCTGGATCTTCCATGTGGTGCAGGGTCCCAAGACTGGTCCCAAGACTGCTTTCCCGGGCCATAAGCAGAGCTGGGTGGGAAATAGAGCAGACAAAAGATGAACCAGCACCTGTATGCATATTAGCATTTGCAGATGGAGGTTTAGCCAGTTGAGCCATCATGCCGGCCGCCAAAGCCTATGTTCTTAACATTGTATTGTGTGTGCTGCTACACACCTGCTCAGCCCATGCCTTGTCATCTTTTCATTTCTGCCACTCTTCGAGTTAGTTTGAAAGCATCTGCACCATTTTACTCTTTGCTTGCTTTAATTCTCCTTCTTCCTCCTCTCTAAGTTCAAATTATCTCTAATAAATTCGCCTGGTTGTGTTACTTCCTGTGGGAAATGATTCTCAGTTTGATTTTTTCTTAGAATCATACGGATTGCAATTAACTTAAAATCTATGATCACTGTCTTTTGTGACAGAAAAGAGAGGATCTGATGACAAAAAAAGCGTGAAGTCCGGTAGTCGAGAAAAGCAAAGTGAAGATGCAAACACTGATTCGAAGGAAAGTGATACTAAGAATGAGGTCAATGGGACCAGTGAAGACATTAAATCTGAAGGTGACACTCAGTCCAATTAAAACTGATCTGATAAGGCCTCAGATCAGACCGAGGTAAGTGTATTGTTTCTCACTTTGATTAGGGCTTTTTGTTACTGTTTGACAGTGCAGCGTAAGTATGCACAGATGAAGATGGAACTAAGCCGAGTAAGAAGACATACAAAAGCATCTTCTGAAGGAAAAGACAGTGTAGTCCTGCAAAACATTTTGAGGTACATTGTTTTGTCTCAGCTATTCTGTAGCAGACTCGTGCCCCCATTAGTGTGCCTCTTTGGAAATTATTGCCCACATTTGTAATATGGTCGCCATTAAAAAGTTAATTATCCTTTTTTTTTTTTTTTTAGGGATTTTGCTGTCATTTCTTTTTTTTTTTTTTTAATGAAAAGGTTAAACTGTTTTTTCTTTTTGGTATTAAGTCCATCTTGTGTTGGTACATTGGCAGAGACATATGCTTTAAAAATTTAATTATTTCTGAGGCACATGTTGGACTTTGTTTTAATTAAACTGCTAGTATTTCTTTGTCAAGGATGTTTCTAGTTTTTTGCTTTATTGCCTTGCATTCTAATGCAGTTTGTTCTGTAACTCGAGAGCCAGTAGCATTGGATTGATGGAAGTGTAGGGTTTATGAATTATTGCAGCTGACTACCATACCTCACACAGCGTTGGTGTTGTGAGCGGCCCATGAAAAGCCAATTTAAAAATCAAGGATTCAGTCAAACTAAGCAGGTACTCATGCCAGGTACTCCTTTCTCTACCCACATCCATGTTTGAATGCTATTGCCTGTGATCTTTACGCCTAACTGTTGTGTATCTTTTTTTGTTCTTTACAAGAAGCGCAGAGGGGTTTTTTTATGTATTGCGTGGAAACTTACAAATCAAATGTTAACAGACTGGAATTTTTTTTCAACTGTATGTAGGGATGCAGTGGTGCCCAGAATTAGATATCTTTAAAGAATTTTAAATACAGTATACACTTCATTTTATTCGCCTTACATTCAATGCAATTCTCAAGTCTTTAAGAGGTATGTGTTTAATATTTCCTACTGTGTAGGAGAATTTGCAGTCAGCCATAGATAAATAGGAATAGTCACTGGCTGATAACATTTATTTAAAGCAGAGAACAATATTTAATAGCAAGAACAGATACCTTCAGTCTGAGATCCAAAGAACTGATGAACTGTATGAATGAGCTTGGGTTTTGAAAGAACTATTTAAAAGTCAGTTTTTCTATGTGTTCTTAAAACCTATAAACTGTTCATTCTTTGGGCTAGTGGCATGGGAAGAAATATTCCTGCTGAAAGGAAGTACCAATTAGTTGATTTGTTGATGGCATTCCTTTTGTAGGAGAGCAATATAGTGTTACATTTATGCAAAGCATACACAGGCACATGGCTTTAAGAACCACACGGATGCCTTGGTTACTAAAAATAATACAAACATTTCATATACACATTACTTAAACTTAGCAGTTAGTAACTGGGCCAACACTTAGTCTTAACATTTTGTCTTTTACATGTTGTCTGATTATCATTTTTCCCCACATTTTGCATTATAGGACTGCCCTTGGAAGATTCTTGGAAGAATACTGAAAGCGGCATACAGTGAAGATCGGCATTAAAATGAGGTGAAAGAAAACTATAGTGGCATAGAAAAAGTATAAAGTTCAGTTAGTTGTTCTTTTTTGTTTTTTGTTTTTGTTTTTGTTTTTTTAATTAAAAAATTAATTCAGGACTGATATGACCTACCAGATTTCAGACATGTGTTATTAGCATATATGCCACTGAAAAGTTAGGTCCTGTATCATATTTTTTCCTTAAGACTTTTTAAGAAATATTACCTAAATATGTGGCTTGCTCAGTGTTTACTTGCAAGTTTTCATTCTTGGACTTTGAAAACAGGATAAAACATTAGTATTTGTGTGAATCAAGCTAAGTGGGATTCCATTTTTACAACTCTGCTATACTTAGCATTTGAATTTAGAAGTAAAAATAAAGTATCTCAGACTTTCTGTTACAAAGTTGATTGTCTCTGTCATTGAAAGTTTTAGTATTGATCTTTTTCTAATAAAGTTATTGACTCTGAACAAGTCCCTTGTTTTAAATATAAGAGGTACACTATTACTAGAGGTGTTGGTGTATAGTTCATCTAATTTGCCCTGTTGAAGACTAATTTTTATAGAATTGAAAGCTTAATGTTTTAAACAATGGTGCTTTTATTTTGGGTGTTTATGAGTAAATTTGAATTTCACATTCAACAGTAAAGACGTATAGTGAAGTAGAATGTATTTCTGCATCCTTGAGAGATTTCTCCAGTGATGAGAAATTTCAAATACTCGGACAGTCTTCATCATATGTAGTTATGACATAATGTTGTATAGGTCATTCAAGAAAACGTTTACCTAGTTTTTGGTCTTTGTTTTAAATCCTGTATCAAGTTTTCTTTTTTAGATCTGGGCTTGTCAGTTTATAAATGTATTTGTGTGTGGATAATAGCTTATACAAGAAAGATGTTAAAACAGGCATTTTTTTTTTAATGTCACATTCGGGAAAATTGGCAGCATCTTATCATCTATAACCAGTTTTCTCAACTGTGTGTAAGTATTGAGTTACATTGTGTATCCTAACAGTTCCTGTGACTTAAATTTTCAATACTGACATCTGTAAGTGACATCCACTCCACTTACATACGAAGAAACTGAGGGTCAAATGACTCATCAAGTCCTGTGATTTAATGTTGAGTGCTAGGATGTGGAGTCCACATCTCTGCCTCACGGTCTGGTGTCTCCATATTATGCAACTGTTCTTTCTGAAAGGCATAATGAATTTTTCCAAATTTAATAAAATATTGTCCATCAAGCTTATCTGTAAGGGAAAATGCTCAGAGACATACACTTCAGGTATGCAGTGATCCTTGAAATGTAGCAATAGATGATGATCTCTAAATTTGTAAGGGATGTTTCATACGAGGATCAAGATGAGACTGGAAGTCCCAGTGCAGTTACTCTTTTGTATAGTTTGACAAGATTGTAGAAGTAAAGGACTTAAAGTGGTGATTTACCTTTTTCAGGGTATTAAGAAAAAATAGATAATGTAAGAAATCTAAGTTATTAGAATACCAAATTTATTCTGCCAAATGTAGAATTAACACCCAGCTTTAATGAAGTGTAGTGTAGGAACTCACGTGTGGAGGCAGTCTGCAGACAGTTAGATCTGTCTGGTTACTGTTGAAGTTACTTGAGATTTGAAGGGGAAAACAGACCCTTCGGGGTGTCCACAATTAAGATCTGGCCAATAGTTAGGAATTTATAAAAGTTAAAAAAATTTTTTTACCATTTTCACTCAATTGATCTGGGCAGGAAAAACTGCTTTGCTAAACAATCTCATACAAACCCAATATAGAAAAGTCCAAGTGCAGTTTTCTGTAAGAAGTACATTATTTCTGCCATGTAGACCAAAAGTCGCCAGTTGGTTACTATGTGTTTTTTCTTTGGAAAGCCTTTAAGGGGGATCAGTTATAATTTACCAGAAACTAATTTGATAAGATTAAAGATAAACACATCAGTGACTTGGCTTTTTTTAAAAGCAGTTTTTTAACTTTGGAAATTTTAAGAAGTAGAACAGTATGATTTGCCTCTATTAACCCATAAATGAAATTTACAGGCGTGTGTATATGTGTGTGTGTGCGCATGTGCCCATCCCCTCCCTGCTCCCTGCTAATTTCAGTAGGTCTCAGACATACTTAATCTGTAGATAGTTCAACTTGTATCTTCAACAGACTCATTAATGTAAACAGTTCATTAATGAAAATCATAAAAACTTAATTGTCATTGATTCAAAAAACCGTAGTAGTGGTCCAAGAGCTTAATTTCTGCTGAGTCTCTAGAGGACCAGTTAAGAACCTGCTGCTCAAGGTGTTGTAGACAGTGCTGCATGCGCTTCTTGATGTTGTGAAAGCATTGTTTTTTTTTTTTCTCTTCAAGCAGACTATGGTCCTGTTGATTTTTCAATCTGGTTTGAAATGCCTTCTGAATCATGAGCCCATTATCACAGTATCTGTCGCTCAGCTTAGCTGCTTAATTCCACATCTTATTCACCTGCACACGTCGGGTTCCTTGTAGTGTCAGAGAGGCTAACCTACCTTACTTTCAAGGTCTGAGAACACAGTGCATGTGTGGACTGACCTTAGCTATCTTCAGATGAAACTTTCTAGAAATGTAAAAACTGAAAAGTTCAGGTTGGAAGACTTTTGAGCTGTGTCCATTCTGAATTAAAAAAAAAAAATAGATGAACTATGCGAATGTGTTTAGACATCCATTATGTGCATGAAAACAAAAGGTGAGAAGTTGTACATTCTGAGGGATGGAACTTCGGTAGTTTTCAAGTTTCACTTTTGATGGATTTTAGTTGTGAAAGAACCCTAGGTGACTGCTTTCTTTAAATTTTGTATTAAATTGTAATGCTTACGCATAGGTTTTTAAGAAGTGTTTAGTGATCTTTGTCTTTCTACTCCTGTCCCTTTGTTCTTCCTTTCCAAGAGCTACTGTTGTACATGTTACTCTCTCAAATGCTTCTTTGGATGGGAAGTTGGGAGGTGGGGAAGGATATAGGGAAATATGTGTAGATTCTTTTTTATATGTAATACGCCCATATGTTCTTAATCTTGCCATTAACACCTAGTATATTTAAGAACATTTGATATGAGACAGCACTTTTAAGTTGAACATGTAGCTTTCAAAAGTATAGTCTAAGTAAGCCAAAGCAGAAAAGTATTTTTCATTATTAATCAGAATTTTGACTTTTCTATTTAAAAAATGCAATTTGAGGGCTTTTTAGTTGGTCTGTCTCTCCCCTTGGCTGTCCTGCTCTTGGGTTGATTCCCACACACAGGTTAAGAGTATTTAGGGGCAAAGCTTTGGCCACTGCTCAGCTGGACTGGGTGTGCTATACCTCGCATTTCCATGTCTTCCCAAATACTACCCTAAAGAAACTGAACACCTGTGTTGGGAGATGGATATAAAAATGTCACAGCATTTGTAACAGGACAGAAGGAAGAAAGCGTGGGAGGACCCCAATTGAACATGACCAGTGTGTTGGATACATATTGTTTCTTTCTACTGTATAATTCCACAGCAATGAACCTGAACCACAGCTCCACCTGTGAACATGGAGAAGTCTCAGCAATACACATTTTAAAACATGTCACAGAAGAATTTATCCATTGTGGTTTCATTTCTTTGAAGATAAAAAAGGCTAATGAATTCATGGCTAATTGAAAGAAGCAAAAAAATGAACCAACCGGAATTGAATTAGCCTTTGGGGTGGGAGGGTGGAGGGAGATGTGATTGTGAAGGGCCAAGAGGCTTCCAATGAGCTGGAGATGCTCTGTTTCTGAGGCTGAGTGAGCATTATTTTATAAATTATGTCTTTGTGGTTTTGTATATATTTGTTAATAAAAATTTAAAATTGGGAAAAGATTTTGGTGTAGGTAGTAAATACTAATATAAGTATAATGTGTTTTATGGTTCCTCCAATGAGTACTTTCTTGAGTGTTAAATTTAAGGGGGTTTTTGTTGTTTTAGGAGAGCTTCCATCTGCTAGTTCATCCCACAGATGCCTGCAACAGCCAGGTCTAGGGAAGGCCACAGCCACAAGCCAAAAATTCCATGTTGTTTGTTGCCTGTGTGGGTGGAAGGAACACCAGAACCTGAGCCATCATAGGTTGTCCACCTCTGCTTTTTTGTCATAAGTATGCTGAAGCTCTCCTATTTTTTTTTAAAGATTTATTTCATTTTTATTGGAAAGTCAGATATACAGGGAGGAGGACAGACAGAGAAGATCTTCCTGTCGATTCACTCCCCAAGTACCGCAATGGCCAGAGCTGTGCCAATCCTAAGCCAGGAGCTTCTTTGTAGTTTCCCATGCAGGTGCAGCGTCCCAAATCTTTGGGCTGTCCCCGACTGCTTTCCCAGGCCACAAGCAGGGAGCCTGGATGGGATACAGGGGCACCAGGATTGGAACTGTGCCTGTTTGGGATCCTGGTGCATGCAAGGCAAGGATTTTTTAGTGGCTACGCTAGTGCGCCAAGCCACCCCCCCCCCCTTTTTTTTTACATTTTTATCTGGAAGGCAGGTGGAGAAATATCTTCCATCCATTGATTCACTCTCCCAACGGCTGCAGTGGCCAGAACTGAGCTGATTCACCATACAGGTGCCTGTAGGTATAGTATTATTCTGAGAGCCACTAGACCACCCCATTATTTATTTGACTTATTGGAAGGCAAAGTTAGATCTTGCAGGCACATCACAATGGCTCAGTTGGCTAATTTTTCCATTTCAAAGGACCAGGATCCCATATGGGCTCTGGTTCATGTTCCGGCGACTCCAGTTCCCATTCAACTCCCTGTTTATGTTCTGGGGAAAAGTGAGGGATGGCCCAAGGCTTTGGAACCCTGCACCCACATGGCTGACCTGGAAGAAGCTCGTGGATCCTGGCCTTCGGATCAGCTCGGCTCCGACCGTTGCAGTTATTTGGAAGTGAGCCAGCAGATGAAAGATCTGTCTCTGTAAATCTGCTTTTCCAGTGAAAAACAAAAACAACTGTGGCTTCACTGCCCAAATGGCTGTAACAGCCCAAGATGGGGCAGTCTGAAGCCAGGTGCTTCTTGGTCTCCCAGGTGAGTGAGCAGGGACTCAAGCACTTTGGACCTTTCATGGCTTTCCCAGGCTCATTAGCAGGGAATTGTTTGAAATTGGAACAGTTGAGACTAAAAGTGGTGCCCATGTGGGATGTGGGTGCTGCAGCTTTACCAAAGTGTAAGTCCCACTGTGCTGGCTATTATGTGACTTATAAAGCTAGGTTCAGACTTGGGCATTCCCAGAAATATGGATGTGATCATCTCGGGCCAAGGCTCGGCCTCCTCTGCTACAGTGCCCATCCCTTGGGTTTTATTTCCAGCTTTTAGGATGCTTAAAGATTTATGTCATTGCAGAAAGGGAAATAACTGGGCTGGGTCCTACTTGCACAAGTTAGATTTTTGCTTGTTAGAGGCCATTGTCTTCTCATTGAGTAGGACAGTACCACCCAGAAGTGTTACTAAAAAAGGTGAGAAGTGGTTGACACTTGAAAAATTGCCTGTTGGCACCTAAAGGTTGGATCATGTAGTGCTAAGGCGTTTCTCAGTTGCAGTAGCCTTCCTGCCTCAGGCCAGTACTCCTCAGGGCAAACTGGCTTTAGCCAGTGTGAGCTAAATGGAACTGGACTTGCTTTGATGTCTTGCACAGCAACACTGACCCCAGGAATTCAGTGCCTTAGGTGAAAAAACTATTATTGAAGCTCTTCCTATTTTTCGTTGAAATTGTTCAAAATCTGCAGCCTTGGCTGAGTGTAAGAGCAGATGTTTGCTCCTTCACCTTTTAATGATTGATTTGCTGCCTGTATTCTTTTTTAAGATTTTTTAAATTATGTTTTTATTGGAAAGGCGGATATACAGAGAGGAGAGACAGAGGAAGATCTTCCGTCCGATGATTCACTCCCCAAGTGAGCGCAACGGCCGATGCTATGCCGATCCGAAGCCAGGAGCCTCTTCCGGGTCTCCCACGCTGGTGCAGGGTCCCAAAGCTTTGGGCCGTCCTCGACTGCTTTCCCAGGCCACAGGCAGGGAGCTGGAAGGGAAGCAGGGCCGCCGGGGACAGAATAGGCACCCATATGGGATCCCGGGCGTGCAAGGCGAGGACCTTAACCACTTGCGCTACCGCGCCAGGCCCTGCCTGTATTCTTTAAGTCACCAGTAGGTGGTACCTGTATGGGTTCTGTGCATAGTGCAGGCTTTTCTTCAACACTGTTTTCCCGAAAATTTATCCTACAATGACTTGAAACACAACTTTAAAATCTTTTTTTTTCTGGGACCAGCACCATGACATGGCAAGCAGATCTTCCCTTAGCATCCCATTGGAGCGTTGGTTGTAGTGTTGGCTGCTGAGCTTCTGATCCAGCTCCCTGTGTACGGCCTGGAAAGCAGCGAAAAGATGGCTCAAGTCTTGGGGCCCCGGCACCCTTGTGAGACCCAGGAGCAACTCCTGGCTTAAGATTGGCTCAGTTTTGTTTGGAGAGTGAACTAGTAGATGGAGGGTCTCTGTTCTTAAAGACTTAATCTCATTTTTTCCACAAACTGTGGTTTTGGTTCACTAACCATTCCTGAACCCCTGGCTCAATTTTTGTTACTCAAAACAGATGTCTCTTAGGGAGATGTTATTTGGAGTTGGCCCGTCTTTGATCCATTATCAAAATCTGGCACTGGAGTCCTGAGCACCCTAGGTTGCTTTATACCAGGGACCTCATATATATTTTAAGATTTTAAAAATTTTTATTGGAAAGTAAGGTACATAAAGAGGAGGAGAGACAGGAAGATCTTCCATCCGATGGTTCACTCCCCAAATAGCTGCAATGACCAGAGCTGAGCCAATCCGATGCCAGGAGCTGGCAGCTTCTTTCGGGTCTCCCTTGTGGGTGCAGGGTCCCAAGCCCTCTGTACTCTTACAATTAACCTGCCTGCAGAAAGTGTTGGAACAGCCAGCTGAGCTCTGACAGACACCCACCCACCCATCGCAGACTTGGACCCTTAGCTGGTCTGTAGGTACATGCTTGCTCTGTGTGCATGCTGGCAGTTAACCATCTCTGGGAATTTATCCATTGACTAAATATATTTTGGCTGTGAGTTTATGTCCTGTTTCCTCTCTGTTCTACCCCTCTTGGTTTACAAATGGTAGACTATTTTTGTTCCTTGTGCTTTTTGAGTTTTCCTTCCAGACAGCTGCATGGGTCCCATCACCCTTCATCAAAGCTGAGCTGAGAAATTGGGAGATGGGGAGCATAAGCAAGATATGTACATGTGTTAGTACTTTACACCTCTTCAGTAAGGACTAGAGGTGACCTTGTAGTGTAGGTGTCACATGAGTAAAGTGCCTCAGCCACATGACTGATTACAAGTTATAAGCAGTTGATAACCAGAAGCCAGCAGGCAAGTTGAGCAAGAAGGGTTTTAACAGTGTAATAGGAAAAGCGTCGCAGCCATTGATGGATCTTATTGGGTCCCTAAGGCTTAACTCATTAAGAGAGGAGGTCTGTCGTCATCCCTCTAATTAACAGTTAATGTCTCGATGCCAGCCACCTCTTGGCCTTTTTACAGTTGATCACAAGCGGAACTCTGAATTATAGTGTCACCCATAGCTAGTGTCCTGTATACTTAAAGTTTTTAGTGTTCTTCAAAACGTGGTCAAAGAAGATAATTCTGCTAACATTGCAAAGGAAGATCATGCAGCCATGGACCACGAGCTGATCGCCCTCTGCTCTTCCCCAGCTGTCTTCACTTCCTCACGAACTCATGGGTGGAACCAAATTACACCCTTTTATTGCACTATTTGAAGGGCATATTTGTAAAGAAGGAGAGCTAGCTTTACTCCCCAAAAGCCTGAAACAGCTGGAGCTGAGCCAATCTGGATCTATAAGCTTTCATGTCTCCCACATGGATGCAGGATCCCAAGGCCTTGGACCATCCTCCACTGCTTTCCCAGGCCACAAGCAGGGAGCTAGATGGGAAGTGGAGCATCCAGGATACTCGCCAGAGCCTATGTAGCATACAGGTACCTGCAAGCAAAAGATTAGTCTTGATTACTGTGCCATCCCCCTATTTTATACCAGGTTAGCCATTACACAGTGCAAAGCAGTACCTTAACGTGCTGTACCCTGACACTGGCTGGGAGAACACCAATTGACTCTGAAGTGTTGGGTAATGTCATTTGTGCTGCTTTGCTATCATAGGTGAATCTTCAGAGATCATGTGTATTCTGTCATCTTGGAAGTCAGTAAAAATGAGTTTTACTTCCTGAAAGTTGCCTTCGAATGTCTCTGCCTTTGAAGTTCAAAGGAAATTACAGTTGTTTGTAGATACTATGGTGTTATTTTTAAAAGGCTTCATATTGGGTAGCATTGTGTTCTTGCCTGAATCTAATGTGTTTCTTTTTCTGTGTCTATTCATGGTTAACTTAGCAGTTGAGTATTGTCTTGTGGGGAAGGGAGGCTCCCCGTTGATAGGTTTCCAGTTGGATTGTAGTCTCTTCCTGACAACTGCCTAAGTTAGGCCAGGGCATTAAATTACTGAAAAATTATCCTGTGATGTAATTTTATTTACAAAGAACATACCACTCACTGGGACACCAAAAAGTGTTCAAAGGCACTTTGGAAAGTTTTGTTTGGTTTTTGAGTAATATCGAGGGTGGGCATTTAGTGTAGCTGTTAAAAGTTGGCATGTGAATGATGCATCCAGCACTGGAATGCCCGAGGGCAGGTCCCATCTCTGCTTCCAGTTCCAGCTTCCTGCTAACACATACTCTGAGCGACAGCAGGCAGTGACTCAAGTTGTGTGGGTTCCTTTCACCCATGTGGGAAACCCGGATCAAGTTCTTGGCTCCAGCCTTCGGCCTGGCCCAGCCCTGACTTGCTGCAAGCGTTTGGGTGAGGGAAACTGCCAGTGTTGAGAGCTCTCTGCCTTTCAGATGAAGGTAACATTTTCTGTGTTTGCTCAGGCAAGCACATATAATAAAAAACTGAAATGGTACAGAGAAGTTCACCACGGACCCTGCACAAGGATGGCACACAGGTTTGTGAGGTTTTGTGTGTTTCTGGTGGTCCGCGTGTGACGTAGTGCTGCAGGCTTTTGCTCAACACAGCTGCCAACAAAGCCAGGCTCTCCTGGACTGCTGTTACACCAGGAAGGTTGGGAAGGCATTGAAGTCTGTACTTGGTGTGTCCTCAGACGGAGAGGTTTGGGTTGTGAGTCCCAACATTGTGATGAAGCTGAAAGGAAAAGGCATGTCGGCAGGGCCCATGTTGGCTGCAAATGTGCCAGGCACATCAGATGGGGTGAGTGTGCTTTGCTTACCAGGAAGCAGAGGTCATGAAAGTATTGTGTGCACAAGCACAGAATTGGCAAAATGAAAACAAAGACAGTGAATAATAAAGATTGTAAACCGCCCCCTCCCCCCAAAAACAAACCGTTCAAAGACAAGGTTTTCTTTATGAAATTAAACAATGGGAAACAATATTTTGTACAAAAATTTGTTTTCTGGGCCCGGCACAAGAGCGTAGCAGCCTAGGTCCTCTTTTGAATGTGCTGGTTCTAATCCTGGCGGCCTCGCTTCCCATCCAGCTCTCTGCTTGTAGCCTGGGAAGGCAGTAGAGGACAGTCCAAAGGCTTGGGACCCTGCACCCATGTGGGAGACCTGGAAGAAATTCTTAGCTCCTGGCTTCGGATCAGCTCAGCTCCAGCCGTTGTGGCCACTTGGGGAGTGAACTATTGGATGGAAGATCTTCCTGTCTTTCCTCTTCTCTATATATCTGCCTTTCCAAGAAAAATATGTTTTAAAAAATTGTGAGATTGCAAAGATCTATTTGCCATCCTTGACTGCTTTCTCAGGCCACGAGCAGGAAGCTGGATGGGAAGTGGAGCATCCAGGACATGAGTCATGGACCAACATTGATGCAGGATCGTGGTGCATGCAAGGCGAGGATTTAGCCACTGAGCCATTGCGCCAGGACCCTTCATACTTCTTTAGATGTTGAAATGATAGTAGGTATATTGGACAAAGTGTTATTAAAATTAATTTCATCTGCTTTGCAAAAATGGCTGTCAGGGCCTGGTGTGCTAGTTTTGAGTCCACTGATCCAGTTGGAGGGAGTCTCCAAAGAAACCTCATCACAGGTGACTCCAGACCTGACTACTGTATGTGCTAGCCAGTGCGAGGCTGGCTCAGTCCATCACCCACATCAGCCTACACAACTCACCACTGGTTGCAGTTGCTGGGGTGTTTCTGTCCCCAGCCCCATCATACGCAAACCAATAGATGCTGCGGTTCAGCCCAATCCTGGCCACCACACACTAGGCACTCACACACACCAACAGAAATTGCAGGCTAATCAGCAATCCCCAATAACCACCAGACCCACCCCCAGCCTTGGTTCCTGTGCCTGCCAGTATGTGCAGCAAACTGGTCCAGTCCCAGATTGCGTTTGTTTTTTAGCCACATTAATGTGTATTGGAGCCTAGCTCAGCCCAGCCAATCCCACTATCCAACCTACACACAGGACTGGGTTGCTACCACCTGTCCAGCCAAGCCCGCCCCAGCCCTGGTTCTCATACTCGCCAGTGGGAGCTATAGCCCATCAGAGGGATTCCCATATTATTCCTACTAGGTCCACTTCCAGCCCTGGATGTAATACTTTTGTCTAGCTTCACAGGATTTGTCCGCAGTCACAACACTTGCCATCTGATGCTGCGGCAAAGCCTGACCAGCCTTCACTTAACTCTGGCTCCTGCATGTATCAGTGTATATGGTCTCAGCTCAGCCCGGCTCTCCCCTTAACCTAGCTCACACTCAGGCCAATGGGTGTTGTACCCCTGCCCAGCCTGGGGTCTTCCAAGTCCCAGCTCTCGCCAGCAGGAGCTGTGACCGAGCAGGGTAGCCTGCACAACCCTCCTACCGGGCTTATCCTCCATCCCCCAGGGTCTTACATGTGCTGGTGGTTACTGTCACCAAGTCTGGCAAGACCTGCCTTGCCTTGGTTTTCACTGGCAGATGCTGCAGCCTAGCCTGGCCTGGCCCGGTCCACCCCAGTTCCAGCTCATGCTAGCAGGTGCTGCAGGTTAGCCCAGCCTAGGCTGCCCTCAGTCCCAGCCCTAATGTGAGCTGGCTGGTGTTTGTGGTCCAACCCAATGTGTCTCGCACCCTGAATGGATCTCATGTCTACCAGAGGGTGCTATGAACTGGCCCACCCTGGCACACCCCAGATCTAACCCATGCATATAGTGGCAGGTACTGTAACCTGTCCTGCTCTGGGCTGCTCCCAGTCCTGATTCTTGCCCTCACCTGTAGGGACTGCTTCCTGGCAGAGGAGTTCCCCAAACTCCTCTATCAAGTCACCCCCCAATTGCAGATCTCATGCATACCACTGGGTCATTGGACCAGCCTGACTTGGCCTACCTCCTGTCCTTTCAGGTACGGTGGCCTTGCCCATCTGGCTCACACTCATTCTGGCTCTTACTGTTGGGTGTTACAGCCCAGCCACTGCTGGCACACTCAGAAACCCATCTTTCATGTGGCTCATCGAGTGCAGAGACCTAGCCCAGCCTATCCTATACCCACCCTGGCTCTTGTGAGTACCAGTGGATGCTGGACCCTAGCCCAGTCTGGCATACCCCAGACCCAGTCCACACCCATACTGAGGGATACTGCAGCCATGTCCAGCCCAGATCACCACCCCTGTCTGACTCTCATGCTCACCAGTGGGAACCGCAGCACAACAGGGGTATCCCCTTAGCCCCCTAACCACAGATCTTGCATGTGCCGGTACTTGGTTTGACTCAACCCAGCATAGTCCATCTCCTGGCTTAGCATTTGCCTTTAGATGCCGCATCCTGGCTTAGCCTTGCTCACCCCCAGTCCCAACTCTTGGTGGTGGATGTTGTAGGCTAGCACTGCCAGCTTGCCCCCATTCCTGGCCTTCATGCAAACTGGTAGGCGTGACAGCCTAGCTCAGTGTAACCCACTCCCCATCCTGGCTCCTGTGCATGCCAGTATGCTACTGTTTGGCCTGGCCTGACCAACACACAGCCCTGACTCGTGCGCTCACCAGCGGCAACTACAGCCCACCAGGGGAATTCCCCAAATTCCCTGACTAGGTCCACTCCCAGATCCAGATCTCACATGTGCCAGAGGATGCTAGGCCCTTACCCAGCGTGGTTCACCCCCTAGTCTTGACCTTTGTGCTGGTGCATGTTGTAGTCTGGCCTGCCGCACTCCCAGTTCTTGGGTGTGCCTGTGGGTGCTGCAGTCTGGACCAGCCTTAACTGTTCCAAACCCCAGCAGCCATGAATGTTGGAGAGTTCCATAGTTATACCTAGCTTGGCCTGTCACCACCCCCAACTCTTGAGCAAGCCAGCAGATACTGCAGTCCCACAGGAGTGAACCCACGTATCTCTCACAGAATCTACCCCCAGACCTAGTTCTCTTGTGTGCTGGTTAGTGTCATAGTCCAGCCTAATGTGACCCATCCATCCCCTACTCCAGTAGTCACTGGCGGGTACTGTGGTTCAGTTCTGCCAGATAAGCCCCTCAGTCCTAATTTTCATGTGCAGTAGTGGGCGTTAGTAACTAGCCCAGCTCTGGTCTTCTACTTGTGAGGGTGGATTGGTCAGTCTTCCTCCTTGAAAGCTCTTAGCTTACCTGCACGTACAGTGGCCTTGTTGGCAGAAGTCCCTTACAAGTCATTCCTTACCTGTAATGTACTCGCTTAGTGGTCCCCCCTCCCACACATCCTATACCCCCTTTCCTGATCAATCCACAGCCCCATGCCTGTGAGCATATAGTTTTGCAACTCAGTCTTCTGACACGGTGGCATGTTGGCCTGGGACCCTACCCCTCCACCCAGTTGGGACTCAAGCATGTTAACAAGTCCCCATGTCCAGTCCGCCAGCACACCATGCCAGCATTCCAGCCTGGAGCCCTAACACCCCTCCCCTCTATTCACCCATGTGGGACCCAAGTACTTGCGGGAATTACTAGACCTGCTCCTCTTTACTGCCCCCAGCATGAATCCCCAGGCCCCCTGAGGCCGCCTAGGTGCTGGACAGAAAGAGGACCTATTTTTTCTTTCTTCTTTTTTTTTTTAAGATTTAATTTACTTTTATTGGGAAGTCAAATATGCAGAGAGGAAACAGAGAGGAAGATCTTCCATCCAATGATTCACTCTCCAAGTGACTGCAACGGCCATAACTAAGCTGATCTGAAACCGGGAATCAGGAGCTTCTTCTGGGTCTCCCATGCGGGTGCAGGATCCCAACCAATCCCTGAACCCGTCTACCCCTGAGCTGCCATTCTTCCTCTGTCCACCAGGGGCCGCCCCACTCCTGCCTGAGTAACCTCCAAGACCCAGCATTTCAGTTCATCACCTCCCTTGGGGACCTCCCATCTCTCCCAGCATCACCTTCGAGCTTAAAGCCCCAGAGCAGCATTCCTAGTATCCCACAAATCCTCCTTGACAGCCACAATCTGTAGAAAATCGGTCCAGTGCGTTCTTCATTCATCAACACTGATGTCCGTGAGACTGGAATCATTTCCATCTTGCTCAGGAGTGATGAACACAGCATTCAGTATGGTATACAGTAGTTGCCTAATAAAGGCCGATTACCTTACTGAACCCTCAAAGTCTGTCCTTAAAAGCCCCCCCTAAGTTTCTCAGCCTCTCTCTGCCGTTTGTTAATGACAGCAGAAGTAGCAGAGGCTGGGATTCCCTCTGCTGAGCACCTATGTGCTTCATGGGCCTGACCAGGCAGGCCATATTTATGTTTTCTGTACCAGACAGCCATTTCCATCTGCTTTTAAAAAATATTTATTTACTTATTTATTGGAAAGGCAGATCAGATTTATAGAGAAGAGAGACAGAAAATTCTTCCATCTGCTGATTCACTCCCCAAGTGACCGCAACGGCCGATGCTATGCTGATCCGAAGGCAGGATCAGGAACTTCCAGGTCTCCCACAGGGGTCAGAGTCCCAAGGCTTTGGGCTGTCCTGTGTTACTTTCCCAGGCCACAAGCAGGGAGCTGGATGGGAAATGGAGCAGCAGAG